GGGCTGGCTGGTGAGTCTGGGAGGGTGCCTCCTGCTCCTTGCTGCTTGCTTTGCTGCTGAAGTGACCTTTAGAAAAGGAGGATGTATCTTTTCTGCTGCCTGAAAATGAAAGCTCTTCAGATAGCAGGGCACTGCTACCACAACTAGGTTTGGAAGCCAGCCAAGGGCAGCTGACTGTAGGGAGCAATCCTCCCCGAATCACAGAATCATGGAATGGTTTGGATTGGAAGGGACCTTTAAGATCAAGTAGTTCCAACCCCCTGCTATAGGCAGAGATGCCTCCCACTAGACCAAGTTGCTCACAGCCCCATCCGGCCTGGTCTTGAATGCTTCCAGGGAGAAGGCATCCACAACCTCTGTGGGCAACCTGTGCCAGTGTCTGACCACCCGCACAGTACAGAATGTCTTCCTAATATCTGCTCTAAGTCTACCTCTTCCAGTTTAAAGCCCTTTCCCCTTATCCTGTTGCTATATGCCCTTATAAAAAAGCCCTCCACAGATTTCCTGTAGGCCCCTTCAGGTACTGTGACTTGTCTCAGCACACCATAGATGTCCTAGGGCACCCCAAAATGCCCCACCCCCTCTGTCTGGAGAGGTGATGCAGCTGGGCTGCATTGCAAGGCAGCAAGCACAGGGCAGCTACCAACAGCCTTATTCACTCCCAGAGCTGAGCCCTCCTGGGGTCCAGCAGCTCCCAAGGCCCTGTAGCCAACATGTGAGAGAGGCAGGCTCTGACCTTCCCTCCTCAACTGCTCTGCTCACATTTCCCCAACAGCCTCTATAGACATCATCTCCCCAGCTTTGCGTTCAACCCTACCACCTCCCCTCACCTGCCTGGCCCCCAGCTTGGGCACTGGCTGGGTCCCCCTTGGGACATGGGGTACCACTGTTTGTTGTGCCCACAGCACTGAGCCCCTCAGCAGCTGCTCCCAGCTGACTGCAGCTATGCCTGAACATTCAAGCTCACTGCAGGAAAGGAAGCAGAAATTGGTGGGGCTCTCCTGAGCTCCCAGAAGAGCCATAGGCAAGCAGGCAGGCACTAAGACCCGTACTACAGGAGTTTCTCTGCTGTGATGGTTGCAGGGAGAAGCCCAATGTGATTTTGAATCATGGTTTGTAAAACCCCCAGTGGTTGAGCCCCGGCGCTCTGCTCAGAGATGATAAACTCATTTCCTGTATCATTTCTTTTTTTTTCTTCCTTCCCCATGTTGTGCTGCTGCCAGCGCTGCTTCCCACTAGACTCCCCAGCCCTTCAGCGTGCCCCAGGGACTGCCTGCTGCCCCAGCACACCATGTACCCTGGCTGTGCTCACTGGAAGCAGGGCACCTTAACACAGTCTGGAGCTGAGCGTGCCTTCCTTGCTGCCTGTCACCCAGGCATCCAAAAATGGAAGCAGACACAGGATTTGCATAGAAAAGCAGAAATAATGTGCTCCTCAGTGACCCTGAGACCTCTGCACATCCCTGCCAATATGTGCCAGAGCCAGTGGGAGCATAGGGAACCCAGGGTTCCCTGAGACCTCTCCCAGAGCTGAGTGACAAACACTGCTATTGTCCTGTCTCCATGTCCTTCTGCATTCGGGCCTGTTTGGGAAGGGGCCATCTGCACTGGATGCCTCCTCCAGCAAGTACAGCCCCAGCAGCTCAAGGTAACCACAACTGGGTGAATTCTCACTCCATCACATGCCCAGAGCTGGGAAGGCTTCAAGTTCAGCAGCCACCTTGCAGTCATCAGCCTTGGTAAAAGCAGCACAAGCGGAGCCACGCAGCCCCAGCAGGGGCTTATAAATATTCCCAGGCTACTGGAGCGGGTGCTGCTGCCCAGGAACCAGGCAGCCAAAATTCCCCCCACGATTAACTGCAGCACACAAACAGCTCGTGGTGCATTCCTGCGGGGAGCGGGGCTCCCTCCCCACCAGCCAGCCCGCTCGAGGCAGGAATGCCTTCTCTCTTTTTTTAAGACCAGCTAGCAGGTAAGATAATCAGTGCAAAAGCCAAGTCATGTGAGTTTTAACAGCAACAGATGAGCCACAGCACAAGCTATTTGTGGTGCAGGCACAAGGTTGCCAACCCTGAGGATTTGGTTGGAAGCCTCACTCGCTTTTATTAAACCCCTTGACTGCTGAAGTCTTGAAACTGTGAAAGAACCCAGCTTCTATTTTAATGGAGCTCCAGCTCATCTGTTCACAAAAGAGAAAGCTTGGATGTAAGACTCAATCCCCCCAAAAACACCGACAGGTAAAATTAAGGCAACTTTGATATGGGTGTGTAAAACTCTGGGATTTAAGGCAGGCATTTGGGTGTGTGCTGTGCAGAGGTTTGAATGCCTGAACCGCCACCAATGTCACAGAAAGGTTAGTGCAAGAAAATACAATTTATTTTGAGGCTGACAATCGAGTTCCTGCAAAGCTGGTGAAACCAGCAATCCCTGTGAGGTCAGGACCAGATGAAAAGCATAACTCTTCTCACTCGGTGCAGCTTAGACACAAATGTATCTTGCACCCCATGGATTGAGCTGAGCTGAGCACAGCAGCACTGACACACCTGCAGGACAGCGTGCCCCCAGTTTCAGAGCTATGAGCTAACTGGTTTCAATGGGCAGAAGGTGCCACGCAACACGTGCAGGGCCTCAACTTGTGGCACTTCTCTGATGGCAGCTCCAAGGGGACACCATGTTGCATCATCACATCCCCGGTACCATGTCCCTGTGGGCTTCCTCTGCCAGGCCGGAGAGTGTGAGCAGGATTTGTTCTCCCCATTTTTGAGAAGAGATCAACTGCTGGGGATCACTCCACACTGGGACCTGCACCCTGACACCTCTGGTGGCAGCCCAGCACCATCAACCCAGCATGACCACTCGTCAATGGCCAGCGAGGCAGCTTGCTTTGAAGCAGTGGTGCAGGAAGCGTGACAAAGGCTTGAGCTGAAAAGCAACCTGCAACCACTGTTATCAAAACAAGTGTGCCATTACTTTACAGAGCTGGCTGCAGGAACTGTTTCAGAGGGAGACTTGCAACAGCAAACTGCAAAGGCATCACTGCAGGGCAGTGCTGAGGCTTGCTGACCGCTTGATCTCCCTGCCTTTGTCAGCCAAAGTGCCAGGATTTCCCTAATTGCCACTACTGCTTAAATAGCGATACTGCAGATCTTCTCTGTTCAGCTCTGCTAATCCCTCAGCTGGCACTGCTCACCATGCAGCAGCTCTCCTGCTGCCCTCCACCTGCTGCCCTCAGCACCCAGCAAGATGCAGTAAGGGGTGCCAGAGTCCTCCAGCCCGGGTGCTGGCTACTGGTGATCTCTGGCTGGGAAACAGAGTGAAATGGCATGGCTGTGTCTGCAGCCTGTAGGTGTAACACGTGTTACTTCTGCCAGTGGGATTCCCTACGTGATGAATCTTTATCTGCGTAAAGTGCTTTTAACGGGACTGTAATGGTGGGTGTCAGATGACGTAATGCTGAAACATATTTTTAACTCCTATGCAAACAGCTTGTCGCTTAATGAGGCAGGCCCACCAGTCTGCAATGGGGAACTGATTGAGCTTTACCCTGGGGATGGCACTGGGTACCATAGTTCCCCTGCTGCTCCTGCCTGGCCATGCATCAGCCCCAGAGAGGTGTGCTGGGGCAGCTGCAGATGCCTCCCCAGCTTGGAGGAGAAGTTGCTTGCAACCAGGCCAAGCCAAATGCCAGTGAGGGAGAACTGCCCATTTCAAAGTCAGGGATGATGAGTAATGCACAGTACTGAGGGGAGCTGGAAATTGCAGCCTTCAGTGAAATACCAGAATTCCTCCCAAATTAGCTACATTAGGAAGACTGAACCCAAGCCCTCCCCATTCCAGTTAAATTCCTGCCTTTCTTTTGCCTCCTCCCAACTTGGCTTAGTGATCATTTTTTTCTACCCGTAATTTCACATGCAGAGAGTTTATATTCCTCAATTCTCTCACAAACATCAGCTCCCTATTTTTGGATTCTGCCTTCTATCCCACAGCCTGCAGATGCAGTAGAGTGCGATCTCAAGCACAAAGCTGTTAGCTGCAGACTTGGTTGCAGACCTGGGCATGCTCCAGGCCTTTATCCCCACACGTGAGGTGCTCAGGGGAGCCCAGCATGCCAGTACTGTCACAAGCAGCACCTGATAGAAGTTACCAGCCCAGCTGCAATGCACTGCTGTGTGCTCAAGTGATGGGAAGAACCAGCAGATGCGTGAGGCAGTGGGAGAGGTTTGGGCCAAGTTGCAAACCACTGCCCAGGCACGCCTGAAGAAATCACTGGGCTCCTTCCCTCATGGTGGCTCGGCACTAACAATCCAGCTCCGTGCCTGGGAGGAGCCGCAAAGACCCAGTGAGTTAAAGGGGGAAAACACTGGACTTTATTCATTATCCCCCTCTCTTCCCTGAGCTCGGCACAGTCCTCCCTTCGCAGGAGATGCAGGCCAGCATGCCATGTCAGCACATAACACAAAGAGCTCTCAGTCTGAGAGGAGCTGCAATCGCAGCAGAAGGATTTTTAACGCTTTAAACGATGGTTTAAGGCTGGATGGGCTCTTGAGATTGAATCCAGCCCACCACTACAGCTAATAGTGCGCGCTTATCAGGCTGCTACCTTCTGTGAACCTCCTCTGGGAGAATTCGCGTCTCTTCCTGGGTTTTGCCACCCTCAACAGGGTGCTTCGACACAAGGAAGATAACACTAGGGCCGAGATAACGCTAAGAGCCTGCACACCTGCTCTTCAGACAAGTGAACTCTCACTCACACTGGAACGAACCTTTGGCAGCAAAAGCCGTTTTCAGTTCTAGCTTCCCACGGCACTCCTGGCCTCTGCCCAGCAGCTGCCTCCACCCAGCACCCAGCGGCACGGCCACGCTGTGAGGCGGCCGCCAACACAGCCGCCCTAATAGGGCCCCGTCCTCCTCCCATCCCCACAGCCCTGCATTCCGCCCCTCCGCAGCCCCTCCAGCCCGCCGCCCACCCGCACGCAGACGTCACGTCGCGGGGCGCCCACCTCGCCCGTCCCGCCTCATCCCGAAGCGCGCTCCACGTGCGAGCGCCCCCTTGCGGCGGGCGGGCGGAACGCGGCGAGGCGGGGCGAGGCGGGGCGGGCGGAGGAAGCGGAGGCGTTGCGGCCGTGTCCCTCCGCGGGCGCCATCGGCCGTGCTGTCGGAGGATCGCTCCGCGCGGCGGCGGGCTGCGAGGTGCCGGGCGGGCGGGAGAGCGGCTGTGGCCATGGCCCGCGGAGCGGGGCAGGCGTTCGCCGCCCTCTTCGGTCTGGTGCTGGCCGTGCTGAGCCGCGCCGAGCCCGCGGCCGGTGAGTGCGGGGAGGGGGGAGGTGGCGAGGCGCGGGGTCCGGGGCTGAGCGTGGGGCGAGGCGCTGGGGAGGGGGGAACGGGAGGGGGAGGGAGGTTGCGCTGAGCGGGGGCAGCCGGCCGCTTTGACGCGTGGGCTGGCCGCTGGGGCTGGCTGCTCGGCCCGAGGCGGGCGCGGGTGGGCAGCCGGCAGGAGCGCCGCATCCGAATCGGGAGTGGGGAAAAAAGTTGTTTCCTGAGAGCGGTTTGGCCAGGTTCGCTCAAAAAGAACTGAAAAGGCTCCTAATGGCATAGGAGTCTTATAAAGTCAGAAGTACGTTCTCTTGGTTGAAGTGAGGCACGGTGCACATCTGGACTGTTTCTGCAAATGGCTTACTCAGCCTAGCCAATATAGTGGTGATCCTCGTTAGTACAGTGGTGAGCATCCCATAGTGGTGAGCGTCCCATAGCTGTGACCCTCGTTATTAGAGCGGTGAGCATCCCGCCTGTCCTGCAGGAGAGTGGGCTGATAGGATGGTGGGTGATGGCCTCAAGCTGTGCCAGAGGAGGCTCAGGCTGCATATTAGGAGAAATTCGTTCTCGGGGAGAGCAGTAATGCCCTAAGATGGGCTGCTTGGGCATGTGGTGGGGTCACCGTTCCTGGAGGTGTCGAAGAAACATTTTGACGTTGTTCTGTAGGACTTGGTTCAGTGAAGAAATATTGGCGGTAGGTGGATGGTTGAGCTGGATGATCTTAGGCATCTTTTCCAATTTAATGGCTCTGTCATTGTAAGATGGCCCAGTGCTGGTTTTGCAAAGGCTACACGTCGCGCCCGTTGATTTAAGCACTGCCGTAACATCAGCAGCTCCCCAGCTCATTGCTGACCCGAGGCTCTTATCCTAGCATGGCACCTGCAGTGTCTGCCCCAGCCGTGCCTGCACGTGGGAGCAGGTTGGCTCTCCCAGGCTGGAGACAGCTTCTGAGTGCTAACCTCCATTCCTTCAGTGAGTGGAGAAAGGAAAGCTGAAGTCACTGAAAGGGTATTTTCAGGTGTCTGTTCAGCTGTCTTGATGCTCTTGTGCAAGAGGCTGCAAGGTTCTGATGTCAGCCCTCTTGGTCAATGACTAGGAGGCTCCTGGATGCGCCCTGGTTTGGACGGCTCAGCGCTGCCTCATCATGCAAGCCCAATGGCACGGCAACTTGCTTTTCCAGTTGAGCCTCTGTTTAGTTTGTAGAAGCCTGCAGTTGAAGCTGCAGTGAGCTGGGGCGGGGCGGGAACACCTGCACTTTTGGTGAGGACACTTTCCTGATAATTACTGTTAATGGTGGTGATTTGCTCCTTGTCTGATCAGTCAGCAAGGAGTGAAACAGGAATGCTCACTGGTAAAGCCCACCCTGATTGGCCCCGATAACTGCCAAAGGGAGACTTGAATTCTGAGTCCAGTTTCACTGCAGAGCAGGTGGGTGTGTGGGACCCCACAAAGGTATTGTGGACCACGCTCGGGATCTTTTGAGGTCTTGAGATCCTGCTGACAGAGCTGGGTCTGCTTGCTTGATAGGGGTTTGCTGAACAGCAAGTTTTACTCGATCATTTGGAGGTGTTACTGTATCACGTTTGCTCTTGTCAAAGGTGCTGGTTTAGACTTTCAAAACTGAGTGTGATTAGCATCTGGCTCACATCACTTCCTGCGGGGCACTGCTGGGAGCAGAAGGACATGAAGGCACTCACAGCTGTTCTCAAGGCCTGAATGTTTGGGAAAAGGGGACTGGTGCCTCTGGTAGCGTTTGGCATTGGAATCTCTTCTGTTTCTTTGTTGCCTTCTGTGGCTGTTTCCCTCCTAATTTTAGGTGTCTTGCTGCAGTTGCAGCAAGTTGCTGTTTCCCTCTGGTGTGTTTTGGTCCTATTTGCGCTCTCCCATTTCCAAAGTGGTGTCTGTGTTGTGGAATGCCTTTGAAGCCTTGGGCTGGATGTGGCCCTCGCTGTCAGAGGGCCTGGGTGGGTGGGATTGAGCCCCGTGTCCTTTGTGGAGCTGGGAGCAGTGATGGCAGGGCAGCAGGGTGCTGACAGCCCGCTGCTTCTGCGTGCCAGCATCTCATCTAACAGCAGAACCAGACGGCTGCAGCATGTAACTTCAGGCTTCAAGGAAGCAGCATGAGTTTGTAGTCGTAGCAAAAGGCTGCAAAGCCAAAAGACAGTACAGTGCTTCTTTAATTCAGACCCATTAAGGAAATGGCATCCATCTTGGGGAAAAAAAAAAAAGAACTTCTCTAAGCACCTAAAGTCCTTCTGTAGTTCTTATTTTCTGTGCATTCATTCTGATATCATCTTGCCAACAGAAGTTGAGGGCTGTGTCTTGTCAGTGCCCATCCAGAAGTATTGCCTGTATCGTTCTAAACACGCGGTCCTCTGAGGGCTGCAGAAATAATTACTGGTTCTGTTTAGAAAATAGTCTGTTCCTAGGGCACATGTCCTTTTTTTAGCCTGCACGAGGATGAAAAAAGAGCTTTGTATCCCAAAACGGCACTGGTGTCTGCTGTTTGTTCCACGCAGCGAGTCTTCATCTTGTTGCTCTGACATCACCATGGGCTGCAATGGAAGCTACAGCAAGCAGCAGGCTGGCATTTCACAGGGCAGGCATTCGTCATGTTCGAATTAATAAAGATTTAGTGCTGGAGAATGATGGAGGACTATGGAGAACACGCAAGTATGGCTTCTGTCTGCCAGATTTCCATAGAAACACCAATACCTCCTCAGCACTTTAATTGCCTTCCCTACATTTTTTTTTTTTTTGTCAAGAACTTTTTTTTTAGCTCAATGCTTTATGTTGCAGCTGTGGATTTGAGGCATTTGGGCTTTGTTTGGAAAACTGAAAACATGGCAAGGCAGGCAGCAGTAGCTGTGAAAGGAAATGGAAGATGTGATTACTGACAGGATTTTGAACCGTTTTACAGATTTGTTCTGTATTCAATGTCTGTTATAACTTCAGCTTTTCTCAGCAGTTCTCAATAGGAGAAGTGCTGTGCGAGCTCCCACTGGTAGTATTACAGTCCTCCAACTGGCTGCTAAGGTGAGACCTCAGGCAGAAGGAATTCATTTCCACCTGTGGGTTTGGACAGCAGTTCCCAGCCCTGCTTTTAAGAGGGCAGGTAGCTGTTTTTGCCAGTTCCTGGATTCTTGAGCTGGTATTTAAAAAAAAAAAAAAAAAAAAAAAAAAAGAAAAATGGATTTCTAAAACCAAATCTCTTGTTACAGCCTTGTTCTTCTAAAATCCTCTTAAATGCACATTTCTGAAGGTTTTTTACACTTCTGAAGTCTGGAGAAGCTGGCAGAGGAAGCCCAACCTGTTAGATGGTGGGGTTTTCTCACAGGGTGCAGAGGCTGAATTCCTTCATGCTGCTCTGAGCTCTGCTCAGCCCCACAGATTATGTGAAAAATTAGTGACTTCTTCCTCAGCGCATAATCTTACTTGAACTGTAATCTTTTGAGGTTAGTGTATCATGTAATTAGTTATCTCTCCTTTGTGGTTTTCCTTCAAAACTGGGCTATTTCAGGGCGTTCTCAGCATTATTCCTTACAGCTTTTAGAGCAGTCGGCTCTCTGCAGTGCCAGCTGCTGCTGCAGAGGAATGTTGCCCCTGTCGGCACAAACAGAAGCTACCAGTCTTCCTTTGGAATTGCTCCTCCTCATTCGGGGTTTTCTTGGCCGCTGCTTTCACGCTCTGTTATCCTGGAGGGAAGCGGGAGCAGTTTTTCACTGCCTTGCTGACCTGATGTGCTGTGGTTTCTCACTGTGTTGGTGGTACTTCAGAGCTGATGAGCTGGCAGATGGGACTCCTGTGCATCCTGCCCTGCTGCTGCTGGCCCTGGGCTCTCTCCTTCCTCCTGGTGCGTGATGGCAGCAGTTGATGTCAGTTGCAATGGTTAAATCCATCAAAAATATATTTTGCCCTCTCATTTTCATTCATGTATTTAACGTTATGCTTAGATATTTTTTTCCTTCTGTGTGATAAGTAGGTTGTTTTCAACCTTTTCCCCAGAAAACAATGCGTACAGTTAGAGCCAAGTTTCAGCCAAATGTGTCAGATGTCTAGATATAAAGATACTGAGTTTCTATAAACTTAATGGAGAGTCTGCAGGCAGAAAGAGGAGGGAGGCCAGTGCAGTGTCATTCTATGGATAAGGCTGTACCATGCTCAGTGGTCCAGCAGGCTCTTTCAGAAGATCCGTTTCCTCTTTCGCAGTAAAACCTTTGGTCAGAGTCTTCTTAGATGCAGGATCATCAGCCACGCTTCACAGAGCTACAGGAAACCAGCTTCGTAACGTCTCTTCCTTGCAGCATTAATTGTAGTATTTCAAGGTTTTATTTCTGCTTGACTTTTTCTGAACTTACAGGTGAGGAGCGCGTTGGCCTTACTTTCCCGTTAGCACTCACTGCAAAGCCCCTTCAGATTTCTTCTGGTTATGGCTGTTTCCCAGTGCTAGCCTTCTCTCTTAGAAGCTGAGCTCCGATGCTTTCAGCTCCCAGTGCCAACTCTGCTATTTCCTTCAGTTTTCTAGCCTGGAAGGAGTCTGAATTTGTAGTGTGCAGGTGAAGAACAGAAACCAAGTCACAACTTTGAGATCATCTTGGCGTCCTTAAAGAGCAATGAGGCAGAAGTGTAACTTCTTTTCCTCTACTTTAACAATCTCTTTAGCCAAAAACATGAAACCTGAGCTAAACCGTACCGCAGCTAACTCTGTTCTGCTTCAGATGCTCGGAGTCACGGCA